CCTTTGCCCTTTTTTTCCATCCCCCCCGACTCCCTCCCATCTAGGAGCCCTCACAATATTCTCTGTATCTGAGTTTATTTCCATTTGTTGTTGTTATTGTTTATTTTGTTCTTTAGATTCCACATATACGTAAAATCATGTGATATTTGTCTTTCTCTATCTGACCTGTTTCATTCAACACAATACTCTCTAGGTCCATCAAGGCAATATCTTTTCTATCCCCTTCCTTTTAATCTGTGTGTGTCTTTTAATCTGAAGAAAAAAAATCCTATTTGAGGTACTTGTTGATAAAAATGTAGTGATTATCATTTTTTGTGTTTTTGATACACATTTTTTCTTCTTAAAGAAGTCCCTCCAACATTCCTGTAATACTGGCTTGGTATTGATAAATTCCTTTAGCTTATTTTTGTCTGGGAAACTCTTTATTTGTTTTTCAACTTTAAATGGTAGCTTTGCTAGATAAAGGATTTTTGGTTTTAGATCCTAGGTTTTCATCACGTCAGATATTTTGTGCCAAGCCCTTCTGTCCTGCATAGTTTCTTTTGAGAAATCAGCTGCCAGTCTTATGAGTGCTCCCTTGTAGGTAACTGCTTTCCTCTTGCTACTTTTAAGATTCTCTCTTTGTATTTAATCTTTGGCATTTTAATTATGATGTGTCTTGGTGTGGACCTCTTTGGGTCTGCCTTTCTTGGGACTCTTTGAGCTTCCTGGGATTGTATGTCTATTTCCTTCACCAGGTAAGGGAAGTTTTCCATCATTATTTCTTCAAATAGCTATGACACGGATATTTTTACATTTAATAGCGTCCCATAGGCTCTTTAAACTATTATAGTATTGGCATCCTTTTTCTTGCCATTCTGATTGAGTGTCCTTGGTTTTCCCGTCCTCCATATCGGTGGTTTGATCTTCTTTATCCACTCTCTTTATTCCCTTTAATATACTCTTCATCTTAGATAATGTATTCTTCATTTCTGACTGATTCCCTTTTATAATTTTCATTTCCACATTTATGTTTTTGTAATCTCTTTGTTAAAGTTCTCACTGAATTCATCTATCCTTCCCCTAAGTTCATTGAGCATCTTTATAACCATTGTTTTGAATTTTGCATCTGTTAGATTGCTTGACTCCATTTTTCCTCGATCTCTTTTCTGTTCTCTCATATGGTTTCTGCTTCTGCCTTTCTATGTCTGTCTCTATGTACTAATCAAAGCTCCTAAGTCTCTGGGTCTTATTAGCATGGCTTTGTGTAGTTAGTAGGTGTCCAGTGGCACAGTCCTAAGAGGAGTTCAGCTGGAGGCCAAGTTTAGCTCCATGCTCTTTCTTTCCGGGGCCACCTGTTAAGATTTAGCAAGCAATCCACAGATGCTGTGCTTATAGTTGCCTCAAGAAACCACACCAGAAACTGAGGCCAGATGCCACCAGTGTGAGTCTTGGCGCTGCTCAGCAAGGAGCACCTGACTCACCCTGAGGACACACCTAGATGTGGCTTGTGTGGGGCCGCAAGTTGGGGGAGGCAGAGTTTTAGGGAATCCTCTGGGTGGAGCAACCCCTGTTATCCAGTTTGATGACATCTCAGCTATGATGGCCTTGCATTTGCACACTGGGAGGGTTTGGGCTCAACAGAGGAACAATGGATACCTCAGGCATTTCTGCTCAGGAGAGAGCCTCACCTCTGGCCCTTGCTCTGACAACTCAGTGTCCCTCTCTAAGTTCCTGGTGCCCCCTGTGCAGCCAACCTGATGCTGGTACTCAGAATGAGTAGGTCTGTCACCACAAAAGTCTGCTTGCACACATGGCCCCTTTAAGAGGCATCTGCAGCTGCTGGCTGCCGCTGTTGTTGCCGTAATCTCTGTCCCACTCAGCTTCTGGGGACTGGGCAGCCTCCTGTCTTTACCCGCTCCTACCTTCTACCGTTCGTTGTAGGTTGATTATCTATTTCTCTCCCTAGTTGTAATGCTTCTGTTCATCTAGCTCCCAGGCGACTTTCCTTGCCGTTTGCTCTGTGTTTCTGTCACAACTTTGATATGGTTGCAAAAGGGATGAACAAAGCCTCTATCATCTATGCCATTTTTTCCTGTCAATTTTTTTGTTTTTCAGTTAGAGTTGAGAGTGTTATACAACAAAGTGATTAGACATTTATATAACTTACAAAGTGATCTGATAATTCTAGTACCCATCTGACAGCATACACAGTTATTACAATACTCTTGACTGTATTCTCTACGGTATACTTTGTATCCCCATGACTGTTTTGTAGCTACCAATTTGTATTCTTAATCCCTTCCTCCTTTTCACTCATTCCCCCACCCTCCTCCTATCTGGCAACCATCAAAATATTCACTGTATCTATGAATCTGTTTCTGTTTTGTTTGTTCATTTATTTTGTTCTTTAGACTCCACATATAAGTGAAATTATATGGCATTTGTCTTGACTTATTTCACTTAGCATTACTCTCTAGGTCCAGCCATGTTGCTGCAGATGGCAAGGTTTCATTCTTTCATATGGCTGAGTAATATTTCATTGTATATATGTACCACTTCTTTATTCATTCATCTATTGATGGACACTTAGATTGCTTCCATATTTTGGCTATTATAAATAATGCTGCAATGAATATATAGAAGCATATGTCTTTTTAAATTAGTGTTTTGGGTTTCTTGGATAAACACCCAGAAGTAGAATTACTGGGTCTTTCTTTGCCTCTTTTTATATCCTTTGTTTTGAAGTTCATTTTGTCTGGTATAAGTATTGCTACCCTAGCTTTTTTTTTTCTCATTTCCATTTTCATGAAATATCTTTTTCCATCCCTTTACTTTCAGTCTGTGCATCTTTCAATGTGAAGTGAGTCTCTTTTAGTCAACATATGTGAGGGTCTTGTTTTCTTATTCATTCAGCCACCCTGTGTCTTTTAATTTACATTAAAAATAATTGTTGATAGATATGTAGTTATTGCCATTTTATTATTCATATTTTTTATTTTTTTCTTAAAGAAGTTTCTTTAACAATTTTTTTTTTTTAATACTGGTTTGGTGGTGATGAACTCCTTTAGCTTTTTCTTGTCTAGGAAGATCTTTATCTATCTTTTGATTGTAAATGATAGCTTTGCTGGGTAGAGTAATCTTGGCTGTAGGTCCTTGCTTTCATCACTTTGACTATTTTGTGCGAAGACCTTCTGTCCTGCATAGGTTCTTTTGAGAAATCAGCTGCCAGTCTTATGTGTGCTCCCTTGTGGGTAATTAATTGCTTTTCTCTTGCTGCTTTTAAGATTCTTTCTTTGTTTTTAACCTTTGGCATTTTATTTATGATGTGTCCTAGTGTGGACCTCTTTGGATTCATTTTGTTTGGGCATAGGTTTTTTTGTTCTTTTAAATCAACTCAGCCCCATCTCTTAGCATAGCTGCTAGTTTTCATGGCCTTTTCCACCTTGTAGAACTACTGAATTAACTGATGGGGGAGGAAGAGTATGGGAACTGGCTAAGGAAAACAGTGCCATAGTCTTCCTCTGTTCCCAAGTTCAGTTGATTTTCACGAACAAATATGTCTCTATTTATTTTTCATTTATGTGTAGTTAGTATACAGTTTTATATTGGTTATATTAGTTTCAGGTGTACAAGTAGTGATTTGACATCTTTATACCTTACAGTGTGATCACCCTACCAATTCTAATAATCTTCCATCACCACGTAAAGTTATCGCAGTGTTATTGACTATATTACTCTTCACCTTTTCAAGCAATCCCCTAACTCCTCTCCCATCTGGCAGTCATCAGTTTGTTCTCTGTGTCTAAGAGTCTATATCTGTTTTGTTTGTTTGTTTATTTTGTTCTTTAGATTGACCATATAAGCGAGATCATATGGTATATGTCTTTCTCTGCCTGACTTATTTCAGTGGGTGTAATACACTCTGATCCATTCATATTTTCACTTATGGCAAGATTTCATTCATTTTTATTGCTGTGTTATATTCCATTGCATGTATGTACACACACACACACACACACACACACACACACGCACATACCGTATCTTCTTTATCCATTCATCTGTTGATGGACATCTAAATTGCTTCCATATCTTGGCTATTGTAAATAATGCTGCAATGAATGTAGGGGTGCACATATCTTTTCAAATTAGTGTTTTCATTTTCTTTAGATAAATACCCAAAAGTGGAATTGCTGGGTCGTATGGTATATCTATTTTTAGTTTTTTGAAGAATGTCCATGTTGTGTTCCATAGGGGCTGCAGCAGTTTGCAGTCCCAGCAACAGTGCACAAGGGTTTTCTTTTCTCTACATCCTTACCAACACATGCTATTTGTTCACTTTTTGATAATAGCCATTCTGACTGCTGTGAGGTGGTATCTCATTGTGGTTTTGATTGGCATTGCCGTGATAATTAGTGATGTTGGGCTTCTTTTCATATGTCTGCTGGTCGTTTCTATGTCTTCTTTGGAGAAATATCTTTTCATGTCCTTTGCTTATTATTGCTTATTGAGTTATATGAATTTCTTATATATTTTGGATGTCAGCCCCTTATCGGATATATCATTTCCAAATAGATTCTCCCATTCAGTAGGTTGTTTTTTTGTTTTGTTGCAAGTTTCCTTTGCTGTACAGAAGCTTTTTAGTTTGATGAAGTCCGATTTGTTTATGTTTGCTTTTGTTTTCCTTGCTCGCTTCTCAATTTGTTGTATGCCTTCAGTTATCTTCTCATAATTTGAGATGATTGTTATTGACAGTTTTTTTTTTCCAGCTGTAAATTTGCTTTTGCAGAAAAGATTTGCCAAACCCCTCACTCCATTATGCTGGAAGCTTCCTTTGCTTCCTTTTGATATTTTTTAAAATGTTTATTCATGTGGTTTTTTCATACGAAGTTATACAAAATATTGCATAAAAAGCATATTTTAAAGTCCATTTTAAATTTATTTTCTAAGACAATACATTTCAGTTCCTCTAATGAAGGTTATAATTAAATAGAAATTTAATCTTTTTATTGTTTCAGATTTCAAGTTCTACCTATAAAGACAGAAATGAGGAATATAAAAGACAGTTCACACATCTACCTGATACTGAGAAGCTGATAGCAGGTAAAAAAGACAGGAAGTTGCAAAAAAACCACTTTACTACCTCATCAGAATAGACTGATGTGTGACAATATTATAAAAAATTTCAGCCTTTGTGGTAGATAAAAAACATTTTTCAAGATAATTAGCATGTCATCATTCATAATTAGACAATGTAAAACTAAGTTGTAATTTGGGGAGGGGTGATTTCTGACTTATAAAATATTAAGTACTGTCTAAGAAAATGGAACTAAAGGGAAATGAGTTATCATAATTTCTTCTGGTGCTTGTTTTATATGGTTTTGGAGGGAAAATTCAAATTTGAGGTTCAGTATATATTATCTTTTCTCAGAAAAAAGGTACTTCTTACCGTACTATAGAGTAGTTTTGTAAAACTCTCTAGAAGTATTATCATTATTCATGTAATCTTTTAAATAGACTTTTTGGAAATAGACTTGAAGAGAAAAAATTTAGTCTTTTTTTTTTTTTTTTTTACAAAAGTGATTTCTTTTTAGTATAAGCTTAATATAAATATTTTACAATCAAAATATAGAACTAGATTTTAAATTTAGTGTATATTTTATTTAAACCATTTCATAGAAATTTCTCAGATGTCTGATACTGTTGAGCAGTATTCAATACAATGTAACTGAATTTCTAGATAGTTCAGCTCAGTACTTTAAAAATCATTATAATGTATTAAAACAACTTGTCAGAACATTTGAAAGTAATACATTCTCATGATAAAATGTTCAAATACTACAGGAGGGCACCTAGTGAAAAGTGAGGGGTCCTTCCAACAAAGATCACACCAACGTTCTTCCTTGGTGATAACCACTTTTAGTGATTTCTTATGTATTATTTTCAGAAATTTTCCTGTATGCATTTTAAGGGGAATATACATATATTCCAAATAGAACTTAAGTGGGAGCACACTGTGCTTACTGTTTTAATCTTGTTTGGAGCTCTTTCTATTAGCACTACTTATGGATCCACTTCATCTTTTTAGTGGTTGCTTAGTATTCAACTGAATGAATTTTGTATCATAATTTATTTCACAAATCCCCTATTGATGGACATTTTGATTGTTTTCTGTCTTTTATTATTACTACTAATGTTACATTGAACTTTCTGTACATTTGTTTTATCACACACGTGCACACATATTATAGGATAAATTCCATGAAGCGGAATTGTAGCAAAAAGGTAATGAGCCTTTTAAAAAGTTTACTGTTGCCAAGTTACTCTCCAAAAAGGCTGCACCAGTTTTTATTCTCATCAACAGTGTAGGTACCTGTTTTGCCACACTTCAGGAACTTCGCATTAGCAAAATTTACTAGGTAGAAATGGTACAAAATCAGTGTTTAAATATGCATTTTATTTAATTATGAAGGTGGTTGAACATCTATTTATATGTTTATAAACCGTATTAATTTCTTTTTCTATGAAGCTTTCTCTTCATAAACTTTGCCCATGTTTCTAGTGGTTATTTGTATTTTCCTTAGTTTGAAGTAGCTTGTTAGATATTTAAAAAATTAGATCTTTTCCCTGTGCATTGCAAACATTTATTGCCAGTTTGTCACTTGAAAACATACTTTTCATGGAAACCTTTATAAAATGTATCATGCTCATGATTGCCTTATTGAAAGAAATAAATCTGATGATAGTTATATATAAATACACACATATATACATATATATGCATATATATGTATACATACACTTATGTATATATACACATATGTATACACACCCATTATAAAATGTTAAAAATATATAAGAAGGTAAGAAGAAAAAATTAAAAATCATTGGTGATTTTTAGATAATTTTATAGATAATTTTGCTTGATATTTTGTGGATAGCTTTCTAGATGTTTTTCAGTGTGTATATTTGCTTCTCATGTAGAAAATCTCAGATAATCTAGACTTAATGAATGAGTTTAGTAACATCACAGGATTGAAAGTTAATTGGAATTTGAATTATATAAATACTATTCACTTCAAAACCTCCCAATAATGAATGTGCGGTTCACTATGCTGACAACTGTAAAACATTGATAAAAGAAGATCTAATAAATGTTTATGGATCAGAAGATTCAATATTGTTAAGAGCTCAATTCTCCCCAATGAAAAATCCCAGCAAGCTTTTTCATAGATATTGACAAGCTGATTCTAAAACTTATATGGAAAAGCAAAAAAAAAAAATATAGAACCACAAAAAAAAAATAATAGCCAAAGCAATTCTGAAAAAGAGGAAAAAAGCTAGAGGATATACACTACTTGATTTCAAGACTTATTATGAAGCTAGAGTAATCAAGACAGTATGATATTTGCCAAATGATAGACATTTAGGTTAATGGAAAAGAAAAAAAAAAGCCCACATAAAAATTCATACGGATGTTGTGAACTTATTTTTGACAAAGGTGCAAATTCAGTAGAGAAAAGCCTTTTCTACAAGTGGTACAAGAGGCTTATTTTGCTTTTAAAAAAACTCACACACATCTTAAAGGAGCTGAGGAACTATCTACAAGTTTTCTAAAGAAAATGCTCTAAGAAAAGTCTTTTTCCCTTTTTGCATCAGGAAAAATTAATTTTTTTCTTTTTCAACTTGTATTTACCCTTAACAGTTATCTCAGGCAAGAAGCTAACAAAATAACACAAAAGGTGTAAAGGATGAAAAATGAGAATTGTTATCTTTTGTAATTTAAATACGAAATCTGAAAGCAATCCTAAAAATGTTGTTCCAAAGCCTTTTTAAAGCAATGTTAGCATTATTGGGCTCTCAAAGATGATTGCTGCTAGAAAAAAATACTTTCAGATGTGTATTCCTGCATGATTATTTAAAAACACATTCTTTTAATTCACTGTCATCTCCCTTATAGATATGCCTAAATTCTTTGGTAAAACTAAAAAGTACATCTTGTTTACTTAAATATGTGCATACTACTTATTGTGCAAGCTTACTCCAGAAATATATGGTGCTAATATACTCCATTTGTATTCCCATAATACTTTGAACACATTTCTACTATATCCTTTGTTATACTATAGTTACTAAAATAATTTTTGAGTTGGAGCCATTCAATTTACCAAAATTGTAATAGCTAGTAAGTTGACGTTAACACATGCATCAAAGTGACCTACATTGCTTGTTGGATTTACTTAATTTTATTCTAAATTTGTAAAGTTAGAAACCATAAAACAATTTTAAATAAACATTACTTTCTTATTTCATTTTATATGAATTAGATTGTTAATATGACTCAAATCAGGTAGAATGTTGCCTTCTGAAAAGAAAGGCTGATAATTGACAGTAGGGAAATTGGGAGCAAAAAAAAGTAAAATCTCTTTGTTTCAGAAAAATTTTTGATCATTTCTTACATAGGATATATTACTAGGAAGCCATTTTACAAAAATTAAAATTTATTGAGGTACAAGTTTATTAAAATAAAATACTGTTTTTGGGAAACCATTTTTAAAACCCCTAAAAAAAGTCTGTCAATCTATATTAAATTTTCAGTTAAAATAATCAAATTGGTTGCTATAACTTTGAACTTTGTTGATGTGAAATAATGCAGTGATTCTCATGGTGCAGTCCACAGACCAGCATGTTGCTATCACCTCGAAGCTTGTTTGACATGCAGACTCTACATCCCATCGCAGACATGTTTAATCAGAAACTCTGGAGGAGGGGCCTAGCAATCTGTATTCTAATAAGTCTGCCAGATATTTCTGACCTGAAATTTGAGACGCATTAGATTAATAAAATGTTTTCAGTGGTTTAAATGAAAATTTCAGTACACCTCAAAGTGACCTTTAGCCTAATCCCTGTTTTAGAGATGCATCCTAGTATATGAGTAACTTAATCTCCTTAATTATTTACTAGGATTTTTTGTTTGTTGGCTTCTCAGTTTTGTTCTGCTGAAGAAAGCATTTTGAAAGAGGGAATTACTTTTAATTTTTAAATTGCTCAATTTTTAGTATTTGCTTAGAAATTTAATATGACTAAATTTAAATATTTTGAGGTTCATCATCTCAATAACTTTTTCCTAAAATTGCTAATCACTTTATATAGTTTTAAAATTTATCCGTTTAACTAAATCTCACAGCATACCTTTGTATCTTATATTATTGATAATTTAGCACTACTATTTACATTAGCTAAAGAGCCAGATCTTAATCTTAGAAGCATAGTATTAATCACTTTATAGAGTTTTATATATAGTTTTAGAAGCATTGTTGGTAAGCAGTGGCATTTACCAGAATACTTGATTTTGCTGGGTTTTAGTGCTGAAGTGAAGAGGATCAACTTACAGAACAAACTAAAAAATATATACAATTTTTGGAGTCATTTTTGTCTCCTTTGCACCCTTGTCCAACATCTAATTAATCACCAATTCCCGTCAGTACTAACTCTTAATATCTCTAAATCTAACTAGTTCTTTCTCTTAATACTGTCATTTCCTGGTCTGAGCCACCATCAGTTTTCTCCTGGATTTCCAACTGTTTTATCTGAATCCATTGAACAAAGTAGTTTTTAATAAGATGCATCTGATCATGTGTCTTCCACTTAAAAGCCATAAATGGCTTTTCATCAAGTTCAGAGTCTACCATGGCCTGAGACACCTGACATGATTTAGCTTCTCCTAGTCCAGAGATCTGTCTTTGTATAGTTGTTCAAATGTGCTATGTTTCTTTCTACCACAGGGCCTTTGCACATACCGTTCCCGATGGTCCAGCTGACCCTTTATTGATCTTTAGATCTCAGTTTAATGATTACTTTTTCTGGAAAACTTTTCCTGATATATGTTCTCCCTGCCCCATCCCCCATATCTATGTATGCCTTGTTATATTCTCTCGTAGCTTTCTCTACACTTTTGTCATTATACTTATTTTTGTCTTTGTTTATTGTATGTCTTTTCCTGTAGACTGTGTTCCATGAGGGTAAGGTCTTTTATTGGTAATCCTAGTGTATGGTGCACAAAGAATATGAATGAGTGAGTGAATGAATGAATGAATGAATGAACTAATGAACAAGGAGCAATGACTTTCCATGTATTAAAGTAGTGTAAGATTTATTAAGTTGCCAGATTTTTGTGACTAAACTGTTTCTTATTTTTGTGTATGTAGATTATGCTTGTGCTCTTCAGAGGGACATTTTGCTTCAGGGACGACTATACCTTTCAGAAAACTGGCTGTGTTTCCATAGCAACATCTTCAGATGGGAAACTACAGTAAGCATATTTTGATTTGATTTGTTGACACAAATAATTGCATAGTTAGAAATGTATACAGTCCTTCTAAAAACAATGTATTTTAAATTCTAAAGTAAATTTATATATTTTAATATATCTATACTTGTATATGTGTAAATACTTACGTGTTATAGAAATGCATAATATATTTTTCTTAATACACCAGGCTCCATTCGTATACATATTTAATACAGTTGGTGAAAGAGATTTCAGATTTAAAAAAGCTTGAATATACATCTTTTTGACTGCCAAAATGATGTCTTATGTGACAGACCGAATTGTGTGTGTGTGTGTGTGTGTGTGTGTAAATGTGGAACATGAACACCCACATGTCTTTTCACACTCTCTCCTAATGTTAGAGATAGGAGCTGATGGAGGAGATTACTAAAGGGGAGAATGTCTGACTGCTTACACTGTTTTTCTCAGAGATTGCAAGCATGTGCTTATTATTAACTCCTTTAGGTTTTTCAACTGAATAGCCCTGATTAGATTGATGTAATACTTGGTTTTTTGTGTTATGTGTATTTCTGGAAAATCCATTTTGCAATTTTCCATTCTTTTGTGTGTTTAGATTTCTATTGCTTTAAAGAATATAACCTTCATGACCAAGGAGAAAACTGCTCGACTCATCCCAAATGCTATCCAGATCATTACAGAGGGTGAAAAGGTGAAAAACTTTTCTCTCTTTGCCTTATTACACAATATGGAAAAAATCTGCCTCATACCAGTCATCGGTGTTGGGAACATAGGCAATTCTTCTCGGAGTTAGGCATATCTAATTGCCATACATTGTATTTAATATTAGATTTCTGTATACTTAAATATTTATTGATGATTAACTTTAAATGACTACTAACATTTTTTATACTTTAAAGAGAACTTTCTCCCCAATTTTTCATTTCTTCATTATAAGCATTAGCAAAACATCCTTTTTATTTCTAAATACCCTAATAATTGCATAATTGATTTTTTACTGAATAGTATCTGCATAATAGCAGTTAATAAAAACAAACGGTTCTGGCGAACAGAGATTTGGGTAGCATACAGTAAACATATAATCATTATAATATTTTTTTAGGAAGGCAATTATTTTTAACTGCTATCATTTTAATTATCCACCTATAATATCAGTTATTTCTAAGTGGGGATATATAAAGAATCTTTCTATACCCACCTGGAAAACTAATTAGGACTTTATGTGTGGCATTAGAGGTATAATGGTGAGAAAGAAAAAGAAATAAGAAAGAAAGAAAAAGAAGAAAAGTGTGGAAGAGAATGAAGGGGAAGGAGAAGGAAGGAAGGAAGGAAAACAAAGAAAAAAGGAAAAAGAAAAGATAGAAGGGGAAAAATGCTATCATGATATTGAATCATTGTAATGATACTTTCAGCCTTATAGTTTCTCTCAAATGCATTTTAAGTTTTATTTTTAAATCTCTTCCTTAAACATCATGTCCAACTATAGTGCAAAAGTCTTTTCCCCTCTGAACTGTTTGAAAGTAAGTTGTCACTCTGATGAAGCCTCATCACCCCAGCCAGCACCTCAGATATTCTAGCATGTATTTCTAACAAAGACATTCTCCACAAAACCACAACATAATTATTAAAATCAAGAAATTAACATTCATTATTACCATTGAGGATTCAACAGTGGTAACATTCATTACCACTGTTGAATCCTCAAACCCTCTTTAATTTCCCCAGTTATCCCAATAATATGCTTTTGTAGCAAATAGACCAACTTGAGGAATATATATAACGTTTAGTTGCCATGCTCTTTAATTTTCTTACTCTGGAATAGTCCCTTAGTTTTCCCTTGACTTTTGTGCCCTGGACACTTAAAAATCATGGATCAGTTATTTTGTAGGATATCCCTCAAATGTGCTTGTTTGATATTTCCTTGTGATTAAGTTTAGGTTATGCAGTTTTAGCAGAAATAACATGGAAGTGATGCTCTGTTCTTTCCATTGCATCCTATCAGATGACACATGATTTTAATTTCTGCCATTACTTCTGATAGTCACTTTGATTACCCGATTAAGGTGGTATCTACCAGACTTTATTGTAAAGTTAGTCTATTTTCCTTTGTAATAATGTTTTGTGGCAAGCAACTTTAAAATATGTAGTATACTATTCATCATGAAATTTGAAATTTATTCATTTATTTATTTACTTATATCAGAATGACCTCATAGTTTCTTGCTTTGTTCAATAAGTTATAATTCATTACTATCATTATTTAATTTGATGCTCAAATTGTCCCAAATGGGAGCCCCCTCAAGCTTGCTCTGGTGTCCTTTTGACTATTGTTGTTTGAGCATTTGAGCATTTCTTTGCTTTTTGGCACAAGATATTACAAGCATTTGTTTAAGCATTGTTTGAGCATTTCTTTGTTTTTTGGCACAAGATATTACAAACTTTCCCTGCCTCAGCCTTGAAATCAGTAATTTCTCCAAAGAGTCCTGGTTTCTTTTAGAGGAGACAGGTATTTAGAAGCCAGTGTGTTCATTGCTATTGGAGTGTTGCTGTTCCCAAGACCTCTAAGTGGGCAGAACAAAAGTTTATGTATAATGTATATATATTTACACACTCATATACATAATATACATACATATATACCCACTTATACATCAATGTCTGTCTGTCTATCTATCTATCATAAACCACGAATTCACACCTATACCTCTAATTTCTAATTTTTACCTAACACCACAGAGTTTATTTTTGTTTTCTCCCTTTCACATTTGTAACTGCCTTCCCTGACCATGAGAAAAAAGGCTTCTATTATCCTTAATATATCATCTTATTTGATCAGTTGGCCTGTATGTAACCAATATTCATCTCCTCTGCTGCTCCCCCACCACCCCACCCCACATAGATACTCTTTCACCTGACTTGGTGGTTGCTGACACTTCAAGTTAGGCTGCTGCCCATCCCACCATAACATAGATGCTCTCACTATGTAAAAGCTCTCCTTATATTTCTTGGGCCTACACCTGTGCAAGCACTTTTCCTATGTCCACTTTACCCTATGCCAGGTCACCCCTCCACAGGGACACCCTCCATTCGCTGCTTGTGCTGACATTCTCTGCCAGGCGGTCACTGCATGTGGTCACCCTCCTCACCCTGCTCAGGCTCTGACACCCCAGCACAAAACCACCTCATAGACTCTGTCACACCATGTTGCCCTCATCCGCTCTGGCTCTGACATGCCTTTGTAGACTGCCCCTGTATGTGGCCACACTCTTTACCATGCATGGGCTTTGACACCCATGCCAAGCTACCCCTTTACGTGGTCACCCTCCTTGAGCTCTGACTCATGCCCCTCATGCCTTTCTTGTTCTCACACCATGCCCCAGATCACTCCCACATCTGGAGGCCCTTCTTACCCACATGGGCTCTGACACTCTGCTTGGGGCCACTTTTCTGTGTGGACAGCCTCCTCATTCTTTTCTGGTTCTGACACCTGCTTTGGGCTACTGCAGCTCTCGTGTCACCCTCACCTAACAGAGAAAAGGATGCCTACTTTTCTCTGTTCTACCAACAGCTTTAGGGCTGAACTGTTCAGGAAAGGAAGAAGAGTAAAAATAAATGTATTCTTAATTTTACAATTAATGCATATATACACTGCATTGCTTAACAAAATCATCAGGCAATTCTTAAACACCTTCCTTTCATGTCTATAATTCTCAATCCCATTGCTTTTTTTAGTGACAAAACACTGTGAGCAGTTTAGTATGTACCTTTTCAGACCTTTCACACTTTCTTAATTTGTTTTTATAAGCATAAGTTTTGCTTTGTTTTTAAAGTAAACAGTATCTTATATGTGTTGTTCTTCAGTTCTTTTAAAAAACATTATCTCTTGTAGTCATAGGTTAGCACATATAGATAGACCTATCTCTTTATTAATGTGCTGTTTAGTGTGTCATAGAATGGATTTACCATGTTTTCTTTGACCATTAGTTCATTTCCAGTGTTTTGTCACTACAAGCAATGCTGCTGTGAACAACCTGACCGTGCCTTCTTAAGCTCATGTGTGGCTCATATTTCTCATCTATGAAATGGAATTTCAGCATCAGGCATTTTAATTTTAATAGTGATAACAGCTAGTGTTTGCTGAACTTCCTTGTTCTAGACACTGTATTAAGTTCTTTACATATATTTTCTCATTTAATTCTCACAAAAATTTGCTACTATATCATTCTCATTTTGCAGATAAGGAAACTAAAGAAAAGTGACCCAAAGTCATAGAACTAAGCGGTAGAGCCAGGACATGGACTCAGGCAGTTTAATTACAGAGACCCTGGTTCTGACTACCTCACCATATCGACTCAGTGTTCTCTTTTTCCATCATTATGGGAAAAAAAACCTACGCTACTAAATATTCATCCCTTTCATGTACTCTATAATTCAGGGAGGGTTAATCATGGTACTTTAAGTTGTTTTAGGTTCTAGCGTATATTTTGTGCCCTAGAAACTTAGAGATATCATTATTTAGAACTCCTCCCAAATTAAGGTTATTATCGAATTAAGATTTATTAATGAATTTTCGAAGTTGGATATACAGCAAAGAATAAAATAAAATGGTAATTGACATAGATTATCCAGGAAAATAGGACTGTAAAGTAGTTGAGAATGTGCTGGTTATTTATAAGAGTGGATAATGTCGATGCCAGGCTATTTAGTTTAAGATCTGGGAATTAGTAAGTGTAACATGTGGTGAAAAGAGACAGACTAGGAGAATTTTCTTATCTATATATCTGAACACAGGATTATAAAGTTATTACATTCCAAAAAACAAAACAATTTGGTCTAAGAAAAGGAAGTAGAGGACAGTAATTGGTGATCATTAGGTCACATATTACATATGTAATCCTATTTGGAAGAGCTCCTAGATAGAGCCTTGTTATAAAAAGTTTTGCTAAATGGAGAATATTATACAGCAGGGTTTCAATTTTTTTAATGGAAAATAGCACTTTAACATTTTTGTATGGACAATGTAAACACCCCAAAATTATTTGACATTTTATTTAATAAATCATACATAGAACTGAGCTTTCTCATTCCTAAAAATAACCATTCAATCATGAAAAGTCACTAACTAGAGGATCAGAAGAGATGGTACAGTGAGAAACTATATTTAGTGCTGCCACTTGTCAGATTTTCTCATAAAAGCCTATTTTAAAATGTGACTTTGCGAAAATCACTTAAATGCAGAGGAAGAAATAGGGCTAAAGGCAAACATAGAATTATAGATTGAAACATGCTATTTTTCTTCTATAGCATTTAAAACAAAGTTTAGTGTTAATATGAGTGTTTTATATTTATAATTAGTACAGGTTAGATATTTCTGGATTTTTTAGAAGACTATGAAAGATGATATAATTTTAAATTAAGATTCTTAAAGTAAATCTGTCTGTGAAATCCACTGTATTTTTTTCTTATTTGTTTATACTTGTTTCAAGTGGCTTCCAAATCATCTCTTTGCAAACTTTAAAATAAATAAAATTTTAGTATTTTTATAAGTTTATTTAGATGGATTTTTCATAGTTAAACTACAATGAACACAAACAGCTACTTATTTCAAGCTCCTTTCCCT